CAACGTGGGGCTTGATCCCACAAACCATCAGATCATGACCTGAGCCGAAATCAAGAGCCGGAGGCTTAACTGACTGAGCCACCCAGGCGCCCCTAAATGTTCCCTGATTTTTGAGGCTTACCTTAAACTCCTCCCACCCAGGAAGTCTTGGATCACCCCTGTAGAAATTGCTCCCGACTCTCGATTCCCGGTCTCTGTGCCCCACTGCCCTGATTGTCTCAGTCTGTTCTGAGTGTAATGGACCCAGCCGTTACAGATAGACAGAACCAGACAGATAGGGTCCCTGCACTCTTGGCCCTGGCACCCAGGCAGGCTTCTGAGTTCTGGCTGGGCTGGCCTCTGTTTCACTTCCTGTGTCCAGACTGTGGCTCAGAGCCCGGCTGTTGTTTCAGGAACAGAAGCAACTGAGCCAGGAGCGGGATCGGGTGGAGGCTCTTCGCCAGCGACTCCAGGAGGCCCAGGGACAACTCGACTCACAGCCAGAGGACCAGCGTGAGCGACTTCTGCAGGGGGTGCAGGAGGTGAGGCTCCTCCAGATACACTCGGGGACCTGGGGTCTGAACCGTTCTTTCCTTCGGACCCAGACGTCCAGGCCCTCAGTCCCCTCCTCCCTCCCTTAGGAGTTCAGGCCCCAGCCCTGTAAGCCCCAGGACTCTGGAGGCTAGACCCCCAGGTCCCTCTTACCTCCTTGACCGGGACTCCTGGCCCCGGCCCACTACCCCCTGGGCCCCAGTCTTTTTTTGCATTCCCACCCGCAGATGAGGGAACAGCTGGATGTGGCCCAGCATGCCTATGAGGACCTAGAGTTCCAGCAGCTGGAGCAGGAGAGCCGGCGGGAGGACGAGGACCGGGACAGCCCCGGGGCCCGGGCACTGGACCCCAAGGTCCGGGAACTTCAGGCCAGCGTGGCGCAGCACAGGGTAAGTCGGGCCGGGCTGACCCTGCCTCCCCCGCTGCTGCCCTCTGTCTCCTCCATTCCACGACTGGCCCTTTCTCTGTCCTCCTTTCCCGCCTGGGTCCCGTTCTTTGGAGCAGGGACAAGCGTTGATGTTTATGGAGCATTTACTATGTTCCAGGCACGGTCCTAAATGTTTCATGAGTCTTTGCTCATTGAATCATTCAAGAATCCTAGGAGGCAAACCTTACCTTCTTTCCACTTTATAAGTACAGGAACTGAAGGTCAAGGTGCTCGAGTAATCTTTTCCAAAGGTCACTCAGTCTGTAGAGGATAGAGCTGGGATCTGAACCTACTCGGTCTTGGCCACTGCGTTCTCTGCCTCTCAAACCCAAGTCCAAAAAGAGAACCCTGCCGGCCCTCTCTGGGAGTTTCGTATTCAAGGGTCGGACAGGTCCTACTGGAAAAAGTGACATGTTTTGACTATATTTAACACAAAGTTTTCTAAAGTTTTCAATTAGAAGGGTCTGACATGGGTCTCCTTTGCCCACCTCCACTTCTGGATCTTCTTCCTGTCACTGTCTCTTCTCCCTTCCTGTCTCACACAGCTTCTGTCTGTCTCCGTTCTGTCGCATCCTGTCTCTTTTCTCTGCATCTTTCTCTTGGGGGTCTGTCTCGGTCCCGGGCTCTCGAGGAGGACTTGGCTCTGTGGGAGCCAGCCGGGAGCCCTGGGGCAGCTGAGTGACCAGGTCACTCGGGTGTGCCCTGCAGCGCCGGATCCAGGTCTTAGAGGAGCAGCTCAAGGCGCTGGGGGAGCAGATGGCAGCTGAGAGCAGGGGGCTGAGCCAGAAGAAGGAGGAGGCCCTTGAGGCCCTGACGCAGGTAAGTCCTCCTGGAGGCCTGTGCAGCTGTCCTCACGTCCCTCCGGGGGCATCCCGTCGCCACGCGGCCCCCCAGGATGTCTCCTGGCGTCAGGGAAGGCTGCTGGGACATCCCATTTCGACTGCGATATGGGAAGTGGTGATCACTTTGCTCTCCCTTAGGAACGGAGCCGACTGCTCCAGCTTAACTGCCTTCAGGGAACCCCTGGAGGGGACTTCTCTGAGTCCAGCCAGGCCCTCACTAAGGTAAGGGGATGTCCTGCACCTGTCAGCCCCTCCCCCCTCAGACCCAGGAGTCCAGGCCCCCAGACCCCTTCTCCCTTGGGATCTGCATTTCTCAGCCCCCTAAATGCGTTTACCTTTGGGACCCAGGAGTTCAGGCCCCG